CTAAGGAGCCAGTAAAGAAGGCAGTAGCATCTAGCCCAGCCCTCTCCCTTTGATAAATGAGGAAACTGAGGCCCAGAGCGGGGGAGGGGCCTGTACAAGGTCCCACAGATAGCCAACATCAGGGATGCCATGCACTAATCCTCTGCCCAAACCCTGCTTTCTTTCCATCCCACCACGATGCCTAGGTCTAAGCTCCCCCTCTTTGGCCAAGCTCCTAAAAACTTGCCAGGCAGACCAGTCTCTCAGGAAAAGGCCACCAGTGGGCTGCAGTGGAGAGCATAGTGAAGTGGGGACCTAGAAACTTGGCTTTGACCCTGCCTCTGCCACTTAGAAAGTGAGGCCATGAGTGCTAAGCCCCTTCTCTCAAGCCTGAGTTGGACCTTTCTCCTCTGGATCACAACATTTAGAGCTGGAGGGGACCATCGGTGGCTATCTGCTCCAACTCTAACCCCATGCAGCCTGCCTCCCTTCCACTCTCCTTCTCTCTCAGTCCTCTCTCCTTCTCTCTCTCCCTTCCACTCCCCTCTCTCTCCCCTTCTTTCTCTTCCACTCTCCTTCTTTCTCCTCTCTTTCTCTCCTTCTCTCTCTCTCCCTTCCACTCTCCTTCTTTCTCTCTCTTCCATTCTCCTTCTTTCTCTCTCTTCCACTCTCTTTCTGTCTCAGTCCTCTCTCCTCTCTCCCTCCCTTCCACTCTCCTTTCTCTCTCTTCCACTCTCCTTCTCTCTCAGTCCTCTCTCCTTCTCTCTCTCCTTTCCCCCTCTCTCCCCTTCTTTCTCTTCCAACTCTCCTTCTTCTCCTCTCTTCTCTCCTTCTCTCTCTCCCTTCCACTCTCCTTTCTCTCTCTTCCACTCTCCTTCTCTCTCAGTCCTCTCTCCTTCTCTCTCTCCCTTCCACTCCCCTCTCTCTCCCCTTCTTTCTCTTCCACTCTCCTTTCTCCTCTCTTTCTCTCCTTCTCTCTCTCTCCCTTCCACTCTCCTTTCTCTCTCTTCCACTCTCCTTCTTTCTCTCTCTTCCACTCTCCTTCTGTCTCAGTCCTCTCTCCTTCTCTCTCTCCCTTCCACTCTCCTCTCCCTCCCCTTCTCTCTCTTCCACTCTCCTTCTTTCTCCTCTCTTTCTCTCCTTCTCTCTCTCTCTCTCCCTTCCACTCTCCTTCTCTCTCTCTCTTCCACTCTCCCTTCTCTTTCCTCTTTCTCTCTCCCCCTTGCCCTCTCTCTGTCTAATGAGGGGAGCCCACCACCCCATCCTGAAGCAGCCCACCCCTCTCCTGGACAGCTCTTCACGGTGGAGAAGTCTTCCCCAACACCCAACCTTGGTTTTCCTCCTCAACCTTCTCTTCACTGCTCCTGGCTCTGTCTTTTGTGGCCAACCAGAGTGGGGCTAAACCCTTGATCACACAACAGTCCTTCAAAGAGGTGAACACAGCAGACATGCTTCCCCCCATCCCCCATTCCCCCAGTTTTCCCTTCTCTAGACTTAACTGCCCCCAACTCCTTCTGCTGAATCAAATGATCCTAATGGTACCCGGACTCCAGCTGCCCTCCTCTGGATACCCCCAACTTATCAAGGCTCTTCCTAAACTGTAGCACCAAGCCTCAGATGGTGGGCTGACTGGACTCACTTCCTTATTTCTAGAATCCCAGCCCAGCCTGGGAATAGTCTCTTTAATGTGCTTAAGTTAGCAATAACTGCTGTTCTTTGAAAAGAAAGATGCCGAGGCAGTTCCTTTCTCATTGGAAGAAATGGGTGTGACCCTAGGCAAGTCATTTCACCCTGTTTGCCTCAGTTTCCTTATCTGTAAAATGAGCTGGAGAAAGAAACAGCAAACCACTGCCAATATCTTTGCCAAGAAAACCCCAAATGCGGTCACAAAGAGTCTGAACAAGTGGGTGTGATGGGGAGAAGCGTCAAGTGTCTTGAACCCCAACCTCCTCTGAGAACAGCTGAAGGGCCTGGGGATCCTCAGCATGGAGAAGAGAAGATGGGGGACAGGCTAGCTGTTTTCAAGCCTTGGGAATGGGCAGCACAGCCTAACTGGAAGAACCCTGCTTCCAGAGGCCAGGACCGAGGCTTCAGGCCTTCCTGCCTCAGGCAGTCCGCTAGTAGTGACCAGGCACTGCTCAGATGGCCTCAGGGAGCCCTGCCAGGGTCATATCTAAGAGCTATGCTAAGTACAGGAAGGGCAGTTTGTGGAAGAAAGGAGGCTTTCTTATCTGCTCGGCCCCAAAAGGACACAACCCAGAGCAAGGGAAGCGGCTAGAGGCCGATTTGGGCTGGATCAAGGAGAAGCCTCCAATAGCTGAGCTGTCCCAGAGTGCTGTGGGCTGCCTCAGGAGATAGGTAGTGAGCTCCCTGCAAAGGCTGGAGAAGCACTTCTTGAGATGTCGTAGAAAGGCCTGGTTCTTGGCCAACTGCAGGCTATATCAGATGTCACTTAAGTCTTTCTGACTCTGGGAGGTGGGTGAAGTGCCCTCCTCAGCCCTCCCACTGCCCAGCAGGAACCTGTCCAGCAGGCCCTGTTGGAACTCTGAGTGCTTCTGACCAAAGGCCAGTACAAAACTTCCCAGAACAAATACCACACTCTCTGCTCAGATGTTCTGATTAAGGCCTCCAGTTCAAAGTGAGGGCTAGGCTGAGCTTCCAAGCATGAAGAGTTAGCAGCCTTTGGGTCATACTGGCCCCCTTTCTCTGCAGTATCCCAGATCGAACAAAGCACTGTCCTCCCAGCATCCCCTAAGGGGGAGCAAAATGAGTACCATTACCCCCATTTTGCAGAGGAGCAATGACTCACTCAGGGCCATACAGCTAGTAAAGGAGGAGAGGGGAATCTGATAACCCCAACGCAAAGAATCACAGGGTCAAAGGATTCAAAGTATTGTTATAGGTCCCTTAGCCATTATGACCCCATTTGGGGTTTTTTGTCAAGGATACTAGAGCGGTCGTTTCCTTCTCCAGTTCCTCTTACAGGTGAGGAAACTGAGGCAAACAGGGTTAAGTGACTTTCCCAGGGTCACACAGCTAGTAGGTGTCTGAGGCTAGCTCTGAACTCAGATTTTCCTGACTCCAGGCCCACTGCTCTATGCCATAGGTGGGAGCTGGCTTAGATGATGATGATAGCTAATATTTATATGTAATGCTTACCATATGCCAGGCACTTAACAATAATTCTCTCATTTGATCCTTATAACAGCCCTGGGAGGCAGGTGCTATTCCCATCCCCATCAGGAAGACCTGAGTTCAAATCTGGCCTCAGACACTATCTGGGTGACTCTGGGCAAGTGACCCGACGCCGCCTGCCTCAGTTTCCTCGTCTGTAAAGTGAGGACAATAACAGCCCCCATGTCACCTCCCAGAGTTGTAAAGATCAGATGAGATCAGCACAGTGCCTGGCACCTAGCAGGCACTTAATAAATGTGTATTCTTTTCCCTTCTTTCCCTTAGTTTCTTCATCTGTTAAGCAAAAAGCTAGGGGTAGACTAGATAGACTTTAAGATTCTTTCTTGCCCTAAACCTACAGCTAGTAAGAATTAGAAGCAGGGTCTGAATCCAGGTTTCATGGACTCCAAGGCCTGCTCTTTAAGCATTACCCCATATGCTGGAAGACACCTTCCCCAAATGGGCAGGGGCCCCTGTGACCGCAGATGGGCTGGTATATACAAGATGCTCTAGAATGGCACTGGAAATGATGAGACCACTAGTCCCTGCCCTGGCCCTGCAAGGCCCAGAAGGGCAGGAATCTGAAGACCCAAACTGTGCAATGTAACCAGGGTCTCTGGCCATGGCCTCCCCAGAGCTGTCCTAGAAGGAGATGGACCAAGAGTGAAACATTGCCCTGGGGTGAAGGGGTCAAGGTTTCCAAGTCACTGGCAGAAGCCCACATCTTCCTATTATCTTCCTTCTGGCCCAGCTGGAACTCTGGGTGCAGACGCTGTGATAGGGGCTGATTCTTCCCTCCTCCCCAACCCCTCTTCCTGCTCCCCCTGGTCCCTGCCAGCAGCTTATGTGCCCGCTTGTTCCAGCCCAGCTGTTGCTCACTCTGTGCCCAATCCTTTGAGCCCACCTGCCTACCTCAATTCCAAGGGCATGGGGTCACTGACCCAACAAACATTAATTAAAGGAAACCTCTGCCTCTGCCATGTGGGGAGGGGGAGAGCCCTGTGCTGGGCTCTGGAGCACAGATAAAGTTGAGGAAGGACAAGGCCTCTGTTCTTCCGGAGCTGGGCCCACAGGCCAGTATGCACGTGCACGCAGGCACAAACCGGGGATCCCCGGAGCAGGGGAAGACACTGGCCACCCGTCAGCCATCCCTCCATCCATCTTCGGTGCCTCTGGTGAGCTGGCAACCCTGGCTCATCTCCCAGGTCCCTGTCAGCCCCTTGAAGAGCTGGGATGAGGAAGGGGAGTGAGGGGGGCAGCGGTCCTGGCAGGCCTGAGAAATCCTTAGGCCACACACGCTTTGCTTCCCTGAGGATGACCCAGAATAACCCCACCTCCAGGGCTCTGCAGAGTGAGGGTCGCTAGGAGCCTCCTGCCACAAACCCCGAACCGGGAAACCCAGGGGACCTCCTTCCTGCGGCTCCGAAGTACAATGCAGGCCCTGGCTGGGGCGGGGGCGGGGGCGGGGGGGGGGAAGCGACAGAACGGCAGGCCCGGCCATGTGGAAGCCGGTGCAGCTGGCCAGCTGCTTCCTAGACCTGGTAAAATACAGGGGAGCTGAACGAACTGCACCGGGCGGCTGGGGGCTGCCTCCCGTCCCCCATCCTCGGCCCTCTCGGCCTTGCCAGGGAGAGCGCAGCCGGTTACCGGGTGGCTGGACCCAGGGCCCAAACCGCTGAGGAGGGGGAGTGGGTGTTAGAGGTGGGTGGGTTGGAAGGGGGGGTGCCCTGAATGTCATCCCAGGGGAGTGAGGTGGCGCGCGCTGGCCTGGGAGCGCTGAGGAAGCCGTCTCCCGGGAGCTCTCCGGAGACAGGGCAGCTGGCCAGCCCGGAGCCCCCGCCCCTTACCGTGGCATCCTCGCCAGCGTAGTGGCCGATGACCCGACGTCCGCCCGGATGGCGGCCGGACCACTGGGTGATGTTGTAGATCTTGCGGTCTATGACCAGCCACTGGTCCGTGCGCAGGTTGTGCTTCTGGACCTCCTCCCAGCTGTAGGTGGGCAGCACGGGTGCATCCCTCTCGGTGGAGCCCTCATCTCCCTGCTCCCCGCCTTTGCCCATGGCGCCCGCGGCCGCCCGGGCTGCCAGCCCCAGCCCCAGCCCCAGCCCCGGCCCCGCTGCTGCAGCTGTCGCAGCCTTCGCCGCTCCAGCAGTCTGTGCCGGGCCACCCGGCAGCCCACGCCGCTTTTGTCTGCAGCTCCTGCCCCCGCCCTCCCTCCCTCAGCAGTAGCCCCGGGCTCCCCAGTGCCCTCCCGGCGGCCCCGCCCCCTCCCGGCCCCGGCCTCCGTGGACTTTCCCCTCCCTACGCAGCCCCGCCCCCCAGCCCAGCCCCCGCAGGAGGAGGGGGAGTCCAGGCCCCCCCCCCGCCCCCCAGCCCCAGCGGCCCGGCTTCCACCGGGATCAGCAGAGCCTCTGAACCAATCCGAGTGCGCCGTCGGAGGGGTCGCCCGCCTGCCATTGGCCCAGGAGGATCTTTCGAAGACCAGCGGGCTGGACTCCGCCACCAGCCAGCGGACCGCTGGCCGGCCCGCGCAGCCCCGTTGCCAACTGCACCCCCCTTCCAGGACCAGCAGGCAAATGGCCCCTGGCACCTGAGTGCACGAAGTGGGAGGACACACCTGGGCGCCCAGGACACATAACGCACACACATACACACACATGCCGTCTGTAACCTTCCAGATCATCACCTGATCGGACAGAAGAAGGGGAGGCGCTCAGTCAGCCTCTTGGCAGAGATCGGGCAGCCCCTCCCATGTGCTCAGTCCTTCAGGACTGTGGGGCCAGAGAGCTGGAGCCGGGAGGGGTCCCGGGAGCCCTCCCATCTATCCCTGGCTTATTGTCAGCAGGAGGAGGCGGGCTCTGGCTTGCAAAAGGACTGGTCCAGGGCCACGCAAGTAGGAAGCATCCGAGGTGGGATTGGAATCGAGGCCATTTGCCTGCGCTGATCCCCGCTGCCCCGGTAGCCTTATGCTTCCAGAGACGGTCCCCCTCTTACTGAGTTGGGGCGAGCAATAGGGAAAGGGATTGAGGGGTCTGCAAAGGACCGTGCCGGAGTGCCCATGCCAAGCCCTCGTGCCCCAAGCTCCTCTCACGGTGCCAGAGGGAACCGGAGTGAGGTGCTAACGCACTGTGCGCGGGCATCCTCTCCCCACGCTGCTGCTTTTATCGACCTCCTCCCCCAACAGACGCTCCAAGAGTGGTCCGTTAGAATGGAAACTCCCTGAGGGTAGAGGCAGTTTCTAATGGTGCCTCCATTTCGTTTCCTCTCTTTTCTAACACCTTCCTGATGGCATGGTCCTCTCTGATTCAAAGGACAACAGGTGAAATCTGGTTTCTTATCCATCCTGCCCTCCCTTCAGCCTCACACAAAGCTGTCACCCTCTTCTGCATCGTCTCTTCTCTAGGTTTTCTCAACACTACCCACCCTGGCTGTTCCCCTACCTCTCTGACACCTCCCACTGGATCTCCAACCAGGCCTCACCCATTAACCCTGGAATGAAATGTGTCTATGGTCAAACAGGAGGAAGCACCAGAGGCAGAATTCGAACCAATGTCCTGGGCTCTTGAGTCCGTTGCACTTTTCCTCTACAAGAATGAGGCAAGTGCCTAGGATAGGACCCAAGCAAAGTGCTGAGATGTTGTAGGAAGAAGAGAGCATTTTGGCAAGGCATCAGGGAAGGCAGCTGAGGCCGGAGCCCAAGGTGGGTGGGGGTGGGAAGGGGAAATCTGTGGGTGAAGGAAAGACTTCATCTCCCTCCACCATGAGGATGGGGGTGGGGTGGGTGCAGACCCAGAAGGGTGGAGGGTTGTGAGCAAGGCCCTAGAGTTTTTGGGTAAAGAAATACGAAATAAAAGAAGAAAGGTAAGTTACAGCTAGATTGTAGCAGAACTTGACTAGCAAGAAAACGAGCGTGTCCATTTTGTTCAGTTTGAAGAGCTGCTGGATCTTAGAGCAGGGGCCTGACATCATCAGAAGATTAAAAAGGTTGATTGAAGGCCCTGGAACCGGAAAGGACCTTGGAATATATTGCATCAAAGCTAGAAGGGGCCTTGGAAGTAAGAATGTTCATGAAATGTTAATATAGGGCAGAAAAAGTTAGAGCTGGCTGGGACTTCAGAGACATTTAATTCAACCCTCATTTTGGGGGGGGGGGTTTGTTTTTTTTTTCCTGGCTAGGCAATGGGATTAAGTGACTTGCCCAGGGTCACACAGCTAGTAAGTGTTATATATCTGAGGCTAGATTCGAACTCAGGTCCTCCTGACTTCAGGGCCAGTGCTCTATCCACTGCACCACCTAGCTTCCCCCTTAACCCTCTCATTTTGGTGGGAAATAGGGCCTAGAGAGAGGAAGAGATTTCACCAAGGCTGTACTAGCTAGCCAGTAAGAAGAGACCGTGCTGGCAGATGGAGGACTAGAACCCAGGCCTCTTGACTCCCTGTCCTTCTCTGCTGGTCCGATTCCCTGCTGCTGCTACAAACACACCCAAGGCTCCCTCATCCTTAAAAAACCCTCACTGATGTGGCCATCTCCACTAGGTCCCATCCTATAATTTCTTCTCCCTCTCCTGTCTAAACTCCTCAGGAAGGCCATCTACACTTTCTGTTCCTGCCTTCCCTCCTCTCTCTTTTCTTACCTCTGGAGCCTGGCTTCTGACCTCATCATTCAATCAGTTCCCTTTCCAAAGTCCCCAGTGTTGTTTCCATGGCTAGAGCTAATGGCCTTTTGGCAACCTCATCCCACTTAGGTCTCTGCAGCCTCTGACACTGTGTATCAGGCTGTCCTGGATACTGTGTCCACTCTAGGTCTGTCCTGGTTCCCCTCCTCCCTGTCTGACTGCTCCTTCTCAGTCTCCTTTGCTGCACCTTCTGCTGAATCACGCCCACTATCTCCCAAGGTCCTGTCCTGGCCCCTCTTCTCCCTGTATATTGTTGCCCTAGGTGATCCTGTACGGGGGGACAAGGTATCATGTTTCCACAATTTAAGATAACCTTTGACATCTTACAACATCAGCAAAGATGTTGGTAATAACAACTTACATTGTTTTAACAAGCTTGCAAAACCTTGCAAAAACAGGGAAACAGGGGAAAGAGCAAGCCGATGAGAAGGGTCCTAATCTTTTAATAGACCCCAAAGTTCTAGAGAGCAGAATGGGTTTTCATCAACCCTAAGAAGGACAAAGGATGAGGGATGGGGGGGGCATGTCAAGGGGACATGGGATGGATGGACGTGTGAGATTGTAACCTGGAAAGGAACGGACCAATCCGGACCTGGAAGGGAGGAGTCGAGGCGTTCTGACAGTATAAAATTCCGTCTCGCTTCTGTATTTGGTGCACTCTCTTCCGAGAGGTGTGCCCGGTTCTCCCAAGAACTGTCATAAACGATTCTTCACTCACTCTGAGCTCAGTTTTGTCTTTAACTAGAAGGCTTGATTTCTCAGTCATCTGCTCTGAGGGTCTCTAAGGCCTCATTACTCACATGTGGGGGCTCTCCAGGATCCAAAGACCTCCAACTCCGACCCAAGTGAGTGAACTCAAAGAAGAGCACTCCTGTCCTTAATTTGTCAGTCCCTGATTTATTCCTTGGGCTGGGTCAGTTTCATGTCACCCAGACCCTGAGGTTTCAGTTTATAAGGCCGAAAGGGATGAGTGAACAATCGAGGGAGATCCTTGGTGGCCAGGGGACTATGAAAGTCGAGATACCTTGAGCAAGGTAAGGACCAGTCTCAGGAAGAAAAGGGACCCTGGGAGGAAACCTTGTTAGTCACAAATCCTAGGTTAAGACCAGTCCCAGGAAGGAAAGGGACCCTGGGAGGAGAAAACCTAGTGATGGGAGGACAGGGAACACTAGCTAGCTAGCTGAGGTAGTGAGACTACCCAGGAAAAGCTTTTCCTACTGAAAGAAAAGGGGCAGAAAAACCTTGGAGCCCATTCCAAGGGGACCTTGGGACAAAATGAGTTTCTTTTGACTGGTCAAGGTTAGAATTAGAATCGAGTGCACGTTGTCTGTCTGTCTGTCTGTCTGTGGATGTTTTGTGTCTGCCAGAAAAATTTTTGGGTAACTTTTGAGGTCTGAGATTGGAGAAGGAATAGTGGGAAAGAGCTCCCGTCTCAGGCTTTCAGCAGGAGATTGAGATAATCAAAAAGGCAGGGAGAGGATCTCTCAGAAGCTAGTGGAAGGTGCAGCCAGCAGCCTTTACTGATAAGGGTTTGGAGCACCAAAGAGAGAGGGAAGGGGCTGAGAAGAATTTGAATTCAGGTTTAATAGGATCCCAAGACTAAGGGTTTGAATCACTGTCTTTGTAACCATCCCACCCATATATCTGATATCAAGGCAATGTGTTTAGAGTCATAAAAATAAGGATTTTTCTGTCTTTTAATGTGATTAATTTAAGGTTTCAGTGATTTATTTAAAAATGCATAGTAACTTTGTGAAGGCTATTTGGAAAGAGAGAGAGGGAGAGGGAGAGCGTTGTTCTCTGGATTTGCAATTCTTATCTCCCTTCAGATTTCAGAATTGCAAAGGAAAGCTGCCCAGCCTTGGTGGGTGTAATTTGGGTGGGGGTAGGAAGTTTGCCACCCTTGGATGGCTGTTCTGGGTGCCTTTATGCTAACTTTAGATGGTTTAAGCATGTTGAAAAGGTGTGAGGAAGTTTGGGGTCTGTTTTAAGTAGAAGGATTGAAAAATGAAAATTTTGTAGCTTGATGTGAAAACCAATAAAATTATAGAGGGTTGGAAGGCCATCTACCTCTCGGGATAAACCCGATTGCCGAGTTCAAATTGCTAAAGCCTGAGATTGTCAGAAGGGTGGCTTTATCTGATAAGGGGGGGGGGGGGGGGGGAATGGGACTTTTTCTTTGCTTCCTTAAAGAAGTAGGAAAGAAAAGGGAAGAGAATTATTTAGAGCAGGAATTATCACCATGTGTCTTTTTAAGGGAATACATAATTTGTGGAGAATATTTCCGTTTAAAGGGCCAAGAGTATTGGATTTAAAACAAAAATATTTTAAAATGTTTATCATTTAAATACAATTATTGGAGTGTGTTATTAATTCCTTAGTGGAATCTCATCCTCCTGATGGGGAATATGAATAGGAATGAATAATGAATTAATGCAAGGTATAAAGTTAGAAGTAATGCAGAGTG